TCTTTTTCCCGAGTGCCACCTTCGTCCTCCAGCTCCATCCCCTCGAGAGAGTTACAACCAAAGTGCGCTTTCGCCTTCGCCTGAACGTGATTCCCTGCCACCATCTTGCGGTCCTTTCCACGCACAATGTTAGCTGATTTCTTCAATATGCTCTTTTCCTCCATACTCTCTTTACTAAACCCAAGTGCGTGCGCAATTTCGTGTGCGGCAACGCGAACGCTCCACGCCGTGTCAGTCATGTACTTTGGGTCAAAGTTCATGGCGCCAATGGAGGGGCGAAGATCTTCCCATTTGTTACACGTTGCCGCCCACACATCCCTGCTATTCGTGCCTGATGGCCCGGCAAAAGCGTAGATGACAAAGTCAGCAGCCACACCGTATTTCATGTGCTCAGTAGGAGCTTTAAAGTGGTTGCACGGTTCATTCAAATTACTCGGCACGGTTATGTTCCTTCCAGTGGGTTTCACAAGTAGTCGCTCAGCGTGCAGTTTGACAGCACCGGGAAGAATCTTCTCAGTGTACAATTTCTTCTTTTCAACTGACAATACACGTTCTTTTGTACAAGTTATCTGCTCCCCCAAGAGGTTTTCGCACTCATCTCCAACCTTTTCGCAGTACGTCTTCTTCCTCCTGTTCGTGCTCTTCAGTCCATCCGTGAACACCCCGATGCGGATCGGCTCCCAGCCACTGTTGTCATCCTGTGTGGCGACGGTGTACGCCTGCATCGCGCCCTGTCCCTTGCGCGGCACCTCGCGCACAACCACAGTCGAAAGCGGGCCGCTCCTCATCATCTCGTCAAATCCACAGCGGTATTGTGTGGCGGGTGCAGCGGCAATAAACGCAGTGGCGCAGTACATCAGCAGCAAAACCAACAATGGGAGTGGCGGCGTGGCATGGCGTGGCTGGCGCATGGCCTGAGGAATATGCATATCTTTTATTCGTGTGAGTAGCAGCAGTGCAGCCTGGCTGTGGGGGAAGAGATAGAAAGAACAAAGAGGGAGAAGAAAAAGGAAGTGGTTTAGTGCCAGTAATGCGTCAAAATGCGGCACATGCAGCGGAGTAACAGGACACCACAGAGACAGCCATGCACACCGCTTGCGCACCAAACCCATCAAAGGGACAAACCTTCTATCCGTCGTTGACTGAGCGTCCATCGCCGTCGCACGCATTCCTTATCGGCCGCAACGCTCCCTACAAGCGGAGTGTTTCGTCTGCTCTCCTCGCGGCGTGGCAACAATTGTGTGACCGGCCACTTAACAGCCACCAATTGCGCAGCGCCCGTCCCACGTGCAGGAGCATCGCACAGCGCCCGCCCTTTCTATCCCGAGAGCTCATAGGGGTAACGCCACCGCACGGCAACCTCATTCTAATGGGCAGCCCTGAGGCGGGGATGGAAAGAGTCATGCAAACAAATATATTTTTACTCCTTCTTGCGGTGCTCGAAAACAACCGTGACGACGTTGCAATTATCATGACGGTTCCTTCCCGCAATGCCACTGGCGAAGGAGTTACTGTGAACTCACTGCGTGGAAGTCACCGTGTTTGCCGTTGCTCCCTCCAACTACCCACGACCACGCCGGCCATTCCCACACGGCGGATATGAGCGTTGCCAAAGACAGCTACAAGCACCAACACACCGGGCTCCACAGTGCCCTCCATCACCATCCGCAGCGTGCGTGCGTGCTTTTTCAGCGTACACACCGCTCCACAGCGTGTGCAACATGGCTTGTATGTGTGTGTATTTGAGTGTTTGTCAGCGCCTATACTTGCGAAGTAGCCGTGCGGCACAAAAGGGTCCAAAGAAAGCAACAGCAGAGAGAGGCAGATAGCACACACGCAAATTACTCATATCACCACACACACACACACGCAGCCGCGGAATGGGTGCACTCAACCACAAAATCAAAAAGGAAAAACAAAACAAAAAGCCGAAGCGTGGGACGACCAGCGCACACACACCCTCATTGCTCCCGTAAAGCAAAACACACACACAGAGGGAGAGAGAGAGAGGTCGCCCACTCAATGCAATAAAAACAAAACAGAAACAGTTACGGTGCTCCGCCCATGCAGCCAGGCAGGACGGCAGCGGTGCGTGTCGTGCAAAAGAGAGCACCAACGGGCCTGCATGGGTGTGCATGCATATATACAATGGGCACATTATTGTGTGTGCCTCGTGGGGTGAGGTGAGGGCGAGAGTCCATGCAAGGGGACACACACACAGAGAGAGAAGGAAGAGTGTGTGTGCGGGCGGTGCGCGGCTCTCTCTCCCTCACTCTCACGCGGCCACCACCGCAGCCGCAGCAGCACAAGCAACAACAAGAAGAAAAAGCAAAAGAGGGGAGGTGGTGTGGGAGACCGCGGTGCTGCCGTCACTGTCGCCAGGCGTCGCCGTGTCACCTGTTTTGGCGTTTGTGGTTGGCGCTGTTGTGGATCCCGCACTCTGAGAGACCGTGTCGTATTTGTTGGCTGATGCAGCTTCACCATCGGAAGTCGTTCCGGGTGGTGTGGCGCCTTCAGTGGAGGGTTGGCTCGGATGATTGGTGGTTGGAGTGCCTTCTGTGCCAGCATCAGACCGCAGGGCCGCGGTGCTGCTGTCTCTGTTGTGTGTAATTGCGGTTTGATTTGTACCAAAACCATTTTTATCTTTTGTGGATTCTTTTTGATTGTATTCTGAAAGTTCTACTCCTTGATCCTGTTTTTGTTGCTGCTGTTGCTGCTGCAGCATTTGATCTTGTTCTTGTAGTTTTCGTCTGTTCTCCTCTTGGTGTTGATCGTGTTTTTTTTTTGCCCCCATCATCCCCTTCGTTTTCGCCTTCTTGTTGGCTTTTTCCCCGAAGGTCTCCTGTACGTATGCCTCCCAATTTTTCCCGCTGGCTGTCATTTAAATTCACTTCCGAAGCAACTTCGTCACGTGCAACTTTTTCTTGGCTCGAACTCCTTCTTCGTTTCGTTCCCCATCACCCAAAACTTTTATTTCATTTCCAACGTCCGAATCTCCATCAATTTCGCCTTCTTCCGATGATTTTCCTGCGGGCTGGAGTGCTGCATTTCCTTTTAGCGCTTGGGCGTCTTTTTGTGTTCGGGTTTGTTCTTGGCTTTGTTGCTCGTCTACTTCTTCTTTTTTTGGTGGTTGTTCATCTCCACTGTTTGCATCCCTTCCCTGCCCTGTTCTCCCTTGGCATCTTTATCTTCTCGTTGACTGTCACCTGTTATTTGTTGCTGAGTAGAACCAAGTGGCACCACACCGGGCTCTGCCACTCCTCCAGGTTCCTCGCCAAAACCTCCGCCGGCACCGCACCACAGCACGCAGAAGGCACACACCAGCAGCACACGGCCAGCCATCATCATCGCCATCACTCCCGTCACTTGCGTGCAGCCTCCAGCACAAACTAACAACACGTCAACGCAGAGTGAAAGCAAAAGGAGAAACACGGCACAGTAAAAAACACCAGCAGCAGCAGCACGCATTTAATGAGAAATACCAAGCCAATGAAAGTGCAAAAAACGCACAGCGACCTGCAACAATTTAACAACAACAAAACAAAAGAAAAGTAAACAAGCAGCAATAAAGTAAAAAATGTAAAAACACAAATAAAAAACTGCACCCAAGTGGCACCAGTGCGCATGCACCCATCCTCAACAGTGCGTCCACGCAAACAGTCGTGTGCGTCTCGTGCATATGAGTGTGTCTGGGACGCGCTCAACGTGACGGATGTGGGAAGCAATGCGGAGCACACAGCGGGGCAGTGAAAGCAAAAAAAGCAAAAAACAATCAGCGTAATTACTCTTACTTCATACATCGGACCACAGTAGACGCGTACACATGTCCCCGTGGCTGAGTGCTGGCACGCACAGCCCACGCTCCCTTTCAGCCCACAGCGGTGCACGCCAGCGCGGATACGGCGAGCAGCAGCGGGGCACACACCCACGCAGAACTGCTGAGGCTGCCGTCGATTTCGCGAAGATGTGGCGGTGCGCGGGTGGTCGTCGTGGTTGGTGCCTCCGTAGTCGTAGTGGTACATGGTGCCTGTGGTGCAGCGGTCGTCGTGGTCGTAGTTGGCGCACTTGTAGTTGTAGTTGTTGTCGTAGTCGTCGTAGTTTTTGTCTTCACCGTAATCCCTTTATTACTTTTTGACTCTCCCGTTTCCTGCGCCAGACTCTTTACCACCGACTGAGCGGGATTATCTGTTAACCCTGGCGGATTTTTGATCCCACCGTCTGACCCTGGTTGACCAGACACAATTATTCCATCCTGTGTATTGGACGACACATCTGACCCCCCTCCCGCATTGACCGTAACCGACCGATCCGCCTCCGGGACTTTAGGGGCATTTGAACCTGAAGACTTGGTCCCCCGACTTTGCTCCGGTGGAGGTGGGGGTGGATGACCGAGAGTTGAACCTTGGGCCTCACCGCTTGCTTTCCCGCGCACGGACGGGCAGCAGCACAGGGCAAGCACCAACAGGGCGCACAGCAGACGGCACGTCATCATCGCGAGTGTGGTCGTTCGGTGGTGTGGAGCTGATCTGCGCAGTGAGGGACATGGAGAACAACAGGGGAGACGAGAGGTGCGGCAGACACACACAGAGGGCAAACACACAGAAGGAGAGGGCAGCAGCCAGGCATGCACCGTACGCCGCACACCACGCACGACACACACTCCAATCCACGGCAACAGGCACACACCAACACACAGCCCTGCCGCAACACCAACGCACAGATGGAAGAGGGAGAAGCAAACAGGAGCGGCACACAAGGCTCCACCGCATGCACACACGGCGAGAGCGGTCCGTCGCGTCGGCACCCCTCACGGAGGGTACGCACACACACGAGAGGAGGCGCAGCGCACACAGCAACACAAAAGCAAAGTAACAATAAAAAGGAGAGATCCCCGCACACCACGTGGATTGTTGGTCCACGGGAAGCGCATCCAATATTCATCACAAAAACAGTTCAGTTGCCTTTTGACCTCGTTTATATTCAGCGTAAACAACTTATTCCATGCAGCCCTGGACACCGCAGCAGCAGCACACGCAAATATAAGCGCAGTGAATGGCATAAAGCAAGCAACCATTTATTTGTGTTTCTTTTTAGAGAGTGGAAGATGTCCGCATATGTTGTTTTTGCTTTGCAAAGGGTAAATCTTCATGCCTGGGTCGCGTGTTGGGGTTCCTGGAGGGTGCACAATTATTATTTGCTTTCTTCCTGTAAAGTTTTCTTGTGTTGGTGCAGCCAACAATTCAATTCGTGTTGTTCCTGCTTTTCGCTGGTAAAGTGCTGCAATAGATGTTTGTTTTTCCTTTCGTTGCCGTGGCACCTGATTCCTCGCCGTTTATTGCGGTGGAAATGAAAATATTTGAGTGGACTCCCACACACCAGAACGCACCTTCGCTCCTATTTATTGCTGCATGGAAGGGCATGTGTGTTTGGTGGTGGCTCGTCCATATATTTTGTGGGCGTACATTCCCCTGCAGGCTGAGGGCGGGGCGACGCTCCGTCGCGGTGCACTTCCCTCGCATGCCGCCCACTGTGATTCATCATGCATCACCCCTCACATATTCCGTGGTGCCACACCGCTGATATTACTGCAGCTGCTGTGATTCCGCGTATTTCACGCATTTGGTTGCGCCACAATACATCCGCCCGTGTGGCCGCCGCATCCAAACAGCGGTGCCCAACACCGTGAGCGGCAGTCCACATCCTTGCATGCCCCAACGCAGTGGTGTTTGACTGTCAGCCAGGCGCCAAACAACAGGAGAGTCGTGTGCTGGCAGTACAGCACACGGAGCTGCAGCGAATGACTCGGGCGGAGACGCATCTATTCGTCGCAAAGCAGTGAAAAGGAGTCGGGCAAAATAATGCCGGCTGCACTCACGACACCACATCCACAGCCAAAGCATGCGACATGATGCGTATTTCGCTGGTGCTGTGAAATGCCTGCAGACGACGTCACTAGTGGAGGCATGCCACCCATGATCAGCGGACAGACAATAATCGGCATGGGAGGCCACGAAAGGCAGCAACGACGCCAGCAACAGGAGCAGCTCTCTCTCTGTTTCCTCCGAGAAGTAAATATTCCACCAGCCACAGCTGACTGTGTAATCGTGACACTCCATGCACGTCGTGGCTGCGTCAACACATCCTGTTCCCTGCTGCGCCTCAAAAGATGCCTCACTCCGTCCACTGAGTGCATCGATGTGGGCCGTGCCTCGGCTGTTCGTGAGGACCACAGCGATGTGAGGGTCACCGAGTCGCAGCATGTTTGTTGTGACGTTGTTGCATGGCACCTGCACACACACACGCAGCGCCTGCATCCCTCCCTTTTGTGTTCGCCCTCCGCCGGAGTGGCCACACACACGGGCAGCAGCACAATAGCGCAAGGATCAACACGGCGCACACCACACGGAGCCGCACCGTCACCATCGTCATCATCGCAGTCATCATCACCCGTAGTGGAGTCGCTGGTGTCAGTGAGCTGATCCGTGAGACAGAAGGAAAAGGAATGGAACAGGAGGGAGAGGGACGGGGCACAGCGGATACGGCGAGTGAGAGCAGACAACATGAGGAGAGGCAGCAGGCCCAGCCGCACAGTTCACACACCACGAGACGGCATCCACGCAACGAAGGCACACAACGCCAGCAGCCACCCACCATGCAGGAGGAGAAGGCATCCACCACCATCTCCCCCAGCTCATCGCCACAGCCCCAGGGAAACGGCAAAAACACCGCGGCCACCACACCAGCCACACGCGCAAGCGAACCCTCATCCGTCCATGACACGGCACCAAAATTTCCTGCCATCCCGCCCTCAATGGGACACGGAGCCCAACTCAACGCAGCCACACGCGGTGCATCACACCCGCAGGAAAAGAGACTCGGGCTGCGCACTCCCTCTCCTCCCTTCTCCTCATGGCCACGGAAGAAGACAACAGCCGCCACACGCAACTGCCAGCATGCACTACAAAAGGAGCATTCATATCCACTGCAATGTGCATCTTGTGTGGTTGTGTGTGTGCCTGCAGAAACACAAAGCAAAGAAGCAGAAAAGAGGGAGCAGAGTATGTGGAGGGACGCACAAAAATGTACAGCAGAGACGCATGGCGGAAACAACAAGAAGAGGACCGCTCAAACTCATGACTGCACTGCAGCCCAAGCAGCGGCAATCCACACAAGATTTATTTAAAGCAAAAAACCATCCCCTTTCATCTTATGTAAACCCCATCACACAAAATAATTATAAAAAAGAAATCGTCCATTACTGTTCCACACAAATTTAAAAATCGCCTGGCTGCCGTGTGGCCACACCGAACTGTCCGTATGTATTTTGCCCGAAAAGAAAATTAAAAAGATGGTTGCGTGTGTTTCAACCGTCCGACCCTCTGCGTGTCCGCACATCGTTTATATTTCACGGGTCATCCGCGTGTTGCTGCTCCCCTCAGCCCTCTCATCGGCGTGCGAGTGCGGCCCGCAGAGCACAGTCACTCGTGTGTGTGGAGGGGACTGAGAGAAGCACGCAGACATGACGGCGGTCGCGTCTCTCCATCGGGAGTGAGCGCAGCAAAACAAAAAGAAACAAAAAAAGAAAAAACACGGCGGCAGGGCGTGGCTGTGTGTGTGTGTGGCGCTGCGGGTGTCTGCCCGCCCTGGCCGCAGGAAAACAAAACAAGAGGGAAAGAAATGTGTGCGCCGCCCCACAGGCCCTCGTCGCACGCCCACACGTCACGGCTCCCTCAGCGCGCCGTTCGTCGCGGCCCCCCTCATGCGTGCAGCAGGCGAGGCGCACAGGGCCGTCGTCATGAGCGTGTCGGTGGTGTGCGAGTGGAGCAGTTGGGCGGGAAACACACGGCACCCCTCGCAGGAAGAGTGCAGCAAAAAAAAAGAGGGAATGAGGGGGTAAGAAATAAATAAAAAAAAAGACTCGAACAGACAAAACAGAAAAATATTAAAAAAAGCAAAAAAAAAAAACTTTAAAACACACAAAAAAGCAAACAGGGAAAAAAGTAAATAAGAGTTATTTGAGAAGAGATATTCATTGCCAGGTGTGTGTGTGTGTCGGTGCAGCGGAGGCCGCAAGTGTCCCACGCGGCAGCCAGTCACTCCTCACAGAGCCGCAAACCCCCACAGTCCCAACAGAAGAAGCGATGGCAGCAGTCCGCTTCCACGCACAGTGCCGGCATCGCTGTTATTCCCCTGCGACACATTTCCGAGACTGCTGCTGAGCGCCGCAGCATTTACCTCCCTGATCCGTGGCTGGATCCCTTCCTCCTCCTGCCCATCCGTTCCTCCCGCCGTCTCCCCATCCTCACCAGAGGTCCTCTCAGGTCCCACTGCGAATCCATCTTGCAACCCACCCTCAGAGTTAGGCGCTTTTGCATCTGCTGCGTTTGCATTATCCGCAGGAGTTTTGTGTGGTTCATCTTCCTGCGTTTTACCTCCATCTGCTGTGTCCACCGTCTGGTTGCCATCAGACGAGGAGACGCCATCCACGGCTTGAGTTCCACCGGGAGATGTTCCTGATGCCAACAGGTCTACGGACTCCTTGCCTGCTGGGGAAGTCGTTACGGTGGACAATGCTGTTGTGGATGCACCACCACCGTCCGTACCTTCTTTCAACAATTCCTGTGCCATCGGCTGATTTCCTCCAAGAGCAGACTGAGGCACGGTTCCACGTGGAGCTGGTACACTTACCCCTGGTGGATAAGCAACCACCACCAATTCTTTCCCATCAGCCACTGTCCTTGGAGTAGAAGGTTTGTTCTTGTTAAGCGCAGTAATCTCTGCGGAACTCAATGGACGGTTGTACAGCAGGACGTTCCACACAGTCACGGGCAATTCTTCTTGGCTTCTTGTGTCGTCTGCGCTGCCTCCATCCCCTCCAATGTAGAAGTGCGATATCTCTTTCGAATCCGCATTATCGAATTCACATTGTTTATCACCCAGACGCTTACCATCGACGTACGCAGAGCTCTGGTTGCCGTTCCGTCGCAAAATTACCACGTGGTCTTTCTTCGTTGTCTCCGGATCCCAAGTGCTGCTGTGCTCCGTAGTTGTCTTGCCACTACAAAGCAATTTCCACTTCTTTCCGCTGCCGTACGACAACTCCATAAGTTTGGATCCTTCTTCATCGCCATTCATCTTCACGCCCAGCAACGGAATGGGGGTATCTCCCTTTGGCTCACCGTCGATGGACACTGTCGCCACAAGAGTGAAGTTGTAGTTCGCAAAGTGGTACAGCTGATTCTGCCCTTGACTGCCAACAGGCCACTCCGCCCACGCTCCTTTGAACGTCACGCCATCGGAAGTATTTGTTGCCCCACCTTTATTATTTACTGTGGCGTCCACCCCGAGGTACTCGTCCCTCCATGTGTTCTCAGAGAAGTTGCCGGACAAAAAGCCAACCAGCCCATCTGTGATCTTACCATCAGCCCTGCAGGCATTTTCACTTGAGGTAACCTTCTGAGCAAGTGAAGTGGTGCACAGCTGAGAGACACGTTCGTCCGCTTTCTTCCACGTCGCCAGCACCTCCTTCACCTTCTCCAGCTGCTCAGTCAGAAGCACAGAGACCATACCGGATGATGTTTCCTCAACGCCCTTCTTCTTCTCGTACAGTGCAATCAGCTCATCCTTATCTTTACTTTCAGCACTTTTGTACAACAGGGAGCTGGCGGTAACTTCGTCATCATCCTTCTCGGATACCGGCCCAATATCAACAATGTGCGTGTTGTCCGTCAGCCAAAGATGGAGTACGCCCTTTTCATCGTTGTCTTTCTCAGCCTTCTTGGAATACACCGGCAGAGTGATGAGCATCACGTCCCTGTTATCGCCAATCTTCGCTGTGGTGAACCCGCTCCCAACGAGTTCAACCTTTTCACCCTTTTTGTTGCCCCACACGCGCGAGAGTGTCCCGAGTGCCTCAGTCCACGACTCCCCCTTGTCACCGGACTCGTACACCCTGCGGCGGCCATCATCACACGCAGTCATCATCATGAGTTTGTCCTTCTCCCACTCCACGACGGAGGGATGACTGCAGCCATCGGCAGACATCCCCTTCGACAGCTTCCAACTCGCAATATCCTTCAAGGAGTGAATGATTAGCGAAACGGTCGTTGTCTTTCCATCCTCTGCAGCGCCATTCAACTTCTTTGTTCCTTCCAGCGGAAACACAAGCGTACCATCCTCCATCTGAACACCCGATCCACCGCTGCCAATCAGACGCATCAAAGATTCGTGTTGTTCGACTTTATAATTCCACGGGAGACCGTAAGTATCATTCCAATAAATTCTTTTGCCCTTTTCGCCATCACTGACGTTCCCTTTCACCAACATGAGTCCCCAGCCACCTGCCCGATCATCAGAGGCACCTTTATTGCTGTAGTTTCCAGCCAGCATGTAAATATCACTTCCCTTCACGACTGTTGTTGGTCGGCTCACATATACTGTCGTCTGGCTTTGGGAATCAACCTGATCCGCTATACGGCAGGCGCATTTCTCATCGGAAGAACATTCCTCCAGTACTTGTGTCTTCACTTTAGTTTTATCCAGCTCCTCTTTTCGGTTTTGGCCAGTCAACTCCAAAACCTCCGAGGCAATCCCAGTAAAACCGCCTTCTTCCTTTTTCGTACAATGCGCCTCGGCAACGGCAAACACATCACCATCCAACTCAACGAGACTGGGAACACGGAGCAAACTCACTTTTTCGTCTTCATTCTTATCTCTCCAATCAAAATATGGCTTTGGTGAAGATTTCTGAGGGGACGGTGACGCCACAGATTGCGCAGCTCCACCACTGCCGCAGCACATCATCACGAAAAAGAGGGGGAGCAGCACCGCAGAGTAGAAGAGATGCCGGTAAATGTGGGGCCTCTGCGGTTCACTCTCTCTTCCTTCCCTCCTCCTTCCGCTGGATCCGGTCACGCGGCGACGGTTGTGTGTGCGGGGTGCCTTCACTGCAGCAACACGTGAGAGCATATAAATATGTGTGTGTGGGCGGTGTGTGTGCTGTTGTTCCTTTCAGAGCCTTACAATTTCACAGTAGCGATTAGCGTTTGTTTGCTTTCTTCATATGTGATTGAGGGAGAAATAGAGAGAAAACATGCCAATAAAGAGGAAGAAACAGTGAACACCGCCACCCATCCACAGTGAGTGGCATCATCATAATCCGCACCGCAGTCACTCCCAACAACAGTTCACGCACACAGCCATCGCGGCAGTCGTCGAGTGCACCGGGAACACACAGCGACGGTTACCAGCAGGAGTCACAGCAGGTGCGTCGTTATTCCTCACGCGTCAGCAGACACTGAACAACGTCCACACACAAAAAACACAACCAGCGGGATGCAAAAAAGCACAGCCGCCCCTCGCAGCACCCATGCGCTGCCGCCAGTCATTTGGCTGCTGTCTCCCCCAACGCTCCTGCAAATCACCCCACACAGCCGGAGAATCCCTCGTCGACAAAACCACGACGGGAGAGACACGTCGGTAGATACAGCTGTTGGGGGAAAGTCGATAGGCACTCGTCCCAGGCATCCTCAACGCCACGCCATTCAACTGCTGCACGCCGCCAAAATAACAACCGCATCACGTCGCCGGCACGCATTGCGGGCTCGCGTTCTCCTAACTCGCAAGAGCAACCGCAGACAAAATATTGTGCGTGCGTGCGTTCTCAGCGCTCACGCCACTCCACAGCGTGAGCGGCATGGCGATTGCCTGTGTGTGTGTTTGCCAAAGTCTACACTTGCAAGAGCAGCCGTGCGGCACAAAAGAGCCTAAAAAAGCAACGGCAGAAAGAAGCGGATGGCACACACGCAAATTACTCATATCATCACACACACACACACAGCAGCCGCGGAATGGGTGCACTCAACCACAAAATCAAAAAGGAAAACAAAACAAAAAGCCGAAGCGTGGGACGACCAGCGCACACACTCTCATTGCTCCCGTAAAGCAAAACACACACACAGAGGGAGAGAGAGAGGTCGCCCACTCAATGCAATAAAAACAAAACAGAACAGTTACGGTGCTCCGCCCATGCAGCCAGGCAGGACTGCAGCGGTGCGTGTCGTGCAAAAGAGAGCACCAACGGGCCTGCATGAGTGTGCATGCATATATACAATGGGCACATTATTGTGTGTGCCTCGTGGGGTACGGTGAGGGCGAGAGTCCATGCAAGGGGACACACGCACAGAGAGAGAAGGACGAGTGTGTGTGCGGGCGGTGCACGGCTCTCTCACACTCACTCTCACGCGGCCACCACCGCAGCCGCAGCCGCACACGCAACAACAACAAGATGAAGAAAAAGAGGGGAGGTGGCGTGGGAGACCGCGGTGCTGCCGTCACTGTCGCCAGGCATTGTGTTTATTTGATTAGTGGCGTTTGCACCAGTTATGGTTTCTTGTACTTTGCCTGGAGGATTCTCTTGATTTTGTTTCTTTTGTTCCTCTCGTTCCTCTTCTGCTTCATCATCCTTTTCTTCTCCAGCTTTTTGTTTGATTCCTGTCGGAGTTTCTCCTGCATGTGTGCGTTGGACTTCCTGCTGAATATCAGTTGAGTTTACTTTCGGGGCACCTGAGACATGTGCAGCCTCCTCTCTCTCCTGAGCCCGATGTCTTTCACGACCCTCAACACCTTCTTCCCCTTCTTTTTCTTCTTTTTCATTGGAACCATCATTGCCTTTGTGTTCTCCCGAAGAATAATCTCCCGCAGATTTACGTGGTGGTATGTCTTCAACATTTGTTTGTTGGTCTTTTCCATGCGTCTGTTGATGTCCTTCTCCATTTATTGTATCCTCTTCTTGGACTGGAGTTTCGTGATCTTGCGACTGTACTCCAATTCCTTCATTCTGTTTGGTTACTCCCGCTTCACCATCACCAAGCGTTTCTAGTCCTTCTTCTACTCGGCGTTGCTTTTCAGGTTGCATTACATTTTCATCTACTTTTTCCAGGTTTAAATCATCTTCTTGTGGTGGTCCTCCTCCTCCTTTTGATTTCTTTGGCGATGGTGATGGTGGTGGAATTTCTTCTGATGTTTGTGGTACTTCATCAGAACCAGCTACTTCTTTTGTCAAAAGGACTTCTTTATCTGTTTCATCGGTTTGTTCATTAACATCTGATGCTGTTAAAACTGAGTTGTGTGATCCTCCATGTACAATTGGTGGTGGTTCCTGAAAACTTTTGCCGTCACTCGCAGAGGCACCAGGTGAAGTTACACCTGCATCATCCTCAGCATAAACACCGCCGGCACCGCACCACAGCACGCAGAGGGCACACACCAGCAGCACACGGCCAGTCAACATCGCCATCACTCCTGTCACTTGTGTATAGCCTTCAGCACAAACTAACAACACGTCAACGTAGAGCAAAAGCAAAAAAAAAAAAAAGCACGGCACAGTAAAAAACATCACCAGCGGTACGCGTTTCATGCGAAATGTTGAACCGATTAAAGCGCAAAAACGCACAACGCCATGCAATAATTTAACAGCAATAAAACACACAAAACAAGTGCAAAACAAAAGAAAAGAAAACAAGCAGCAATAAAGCAAAACAGTAAAAATTACAAAAACTGCACCCAAATGGCACCAGTGCACATGCACCCATCCTCAACAGTGCGTCTACGCAAAAATTTGTATGCATGTCGTGCATACAAGTGTGTCTGGGACGCGCTCAACGTGGCGGATGTGGGAAGCAACGCGGAGCACACAGCAGGGCAGCGGAGGCAAACAAAGCAAAAAACGATCATCATAATCACTCTTACTTCATACATCGGACCACAGTGGACGCGTACACATGTCCCCGTGGCTGAGTGCTGGCACGCACAGCCCACGCTCCCTTTCAGCCCACAGCGGTGCACGCCAGCGCGGATACGGCGAGCAGCAGCGGGGCACACACCCACGCAGAACTGCTGAGGCTGCCGTCGATTTCGCGAAGATGTGGCGGTGCGCGGGTGGTCGTCGTGGTTGGTACCTCCGTTGTAGTGGGTGCCCTTGTGGTCGTTGTCGTAGTTGTAGTTGTCGTTGTCGTGGTATTCGTTTGTGGTGTCTGTGCCTTAGCCTCTTTGTTATTTTTTGACTCATCCGTAGCCTGCTCTAGATTGTTTACCAACGACTCATGAGACTTATCCGTTGAAACTGTCGGATGGTCTTTTTTTACCGTCTAACCCTGACTGACCTGACACACTTGTACCTCCCTGCTTAGTAGACGACTTCTCTGATGGCTCTTCCCCAATGGCCGTAAGTGGTTTATTTAACGCATCGGTCATAACCGTTTCCGGTACTTTACGAGTAGCTAAACCTAAAGCACTGTTCCCCGGACCTGGTGCGTCCGGTGAGGCCGGCTCACCGAAGCCACCTGGTTCCGCGTCACCCGCTGTCACGCACACGGACGGGCAGCAGCACAGGGCGAGCACCAACAGGGCGCACAGCAGACGGCACGTCATCATCGCGAGTGTGGTCGTTCGGTGGTGTGGAGCTGATCTGCACAGTGAGGAGCATGGAGAGCAACAGGGGAGACGAGAGGTGCGGCAGACACACACAGAGGGCACACCACATGAGGAGAGGGCAGCAGCCAGGCATGCACCGTACGCCGCACACCACGCACGACACACACTCCAATCCACGGCAACACACACACACACACGCAGCCCTGTCGCAACACCAACACACAGATGGAAGAGGAGAAGCAAACAGGAGCGGCACACAAGGCTCCACCGCATTTACATACGGCGAGAGCGGTCCGTCGTGTCGACACCCCTCACGGAGGGTACGCACACACACGAGAGGAGGTGCAGCGAACACAGCAACACAAAAGCAAAGCAACAATAATAAAAAGGAGATCCCCGCACACCACGTGGATTGTTGGCCCACGGGAACTGCAGAAAATATTCGTGACAAACAATTCAGTTGCTTTTCGACCTCGCTTATATTCAGCGTAAACAACTTATTCCATGCAGCCCCTGTCACCGCCACCGCCGCCGCACACACAAATATAAGCGCAATAAATAAAATAAAGCAATCACCCATTTATTTTTGTCTCTGTTTGAATATTGGCAGATGTCCGCATATTTTTTTTTGCTTTGCAAAGAGTAAATCTTCATGCCTGGGTCGTGTGTTGAGGATTTCTACAGGGTGCACAATTATTATTTGCTTTCTTCCTGTAAAGTTTTCTTGTGTTGGTGCAGACAAGAATTCGGTTTGTGTTGTTCCTGCTTTTCGCTGGTAAAGTGCTGCAATAGATGTTTTTATTTCCTCCGTTCGTCGCTGTGGCACCTGATTCCTCGCCGTTTATTGCGGTGGAAATGAATAATATGTGAGTGGACTCCCACACACCACAACGCACCTTCGCTCCTATTTATTGCTGCATGGAGGGCATGCGTGTTTGGTGGTGTCTCGACCATATATTTTGTGGGCGTACATTCCCCTGCAGGCTGAGGGCGGGATGACGCTCCGTCGCGGTGCACTTCCCTCGCATGCCGCCCACTCTGATTCATCATGCATCACCCCCTCTCACATATTCCGTGGTGCCACACCGTCGATATTATTGCAGCCGCTGTGATTCCGCATATTTCACGCATTTGATTGTGCCACAATACATCCGCTCGTGTGGCCGCCGCATCGAAACAGCGGTGCCCAACACCGTGAGCGGCAATCCACATCCTTGCATGCCCCAACGCAGTGGTGTTTGACTGTCAGCCAGGCGCCAAACAACAGGAGAGTCGTGTGCTGGCAGTACAGCACACGGAGCTGCAGCGAATGACTCGGGCGGCGACGCATCCATTTGTCGAAAGGCAGTAAAAAGGAGTCGGGCAATATAATACCGGCTGCACTCACGACACCACATCTACAGCCAAAGCATGCGACATGATGTGTGCCTCACTGGTGCTGTGAAATGCCTGCAGACGACGTCACTAGTGGAGGCATGCCACCCATGATCAGCGGACAGACAATAATCGGCATGGGAGGCCACGAAAGGCAGCAACGACGCCAGCAGCAGGAGCAGCTCTCTCTCTGTCTCCTCCGAGAAGCAATTATTCCACCAGCCACAGCTGACTGTGCAATCGTGACACTCCATGCACGTCGTGGCTGCGTCAACACATCCTGCTCCCTGCAGCGCCTCAAAAGATGCCTCACTCCGTCCACTGAGTGCATCGATGTGGGCCGTGCCTCGGCTGTTCGTGGGGACCACAGCGATGTGAGGGTCACCGAGTCGCAGCATGTTTGTTGTGACGTTGTTGCATGGCACCTGCACACACACACGCAACGCCTGCATCCCTCCCTTTTGTGTTCGACCTCCGCCGGAGTGGCCACACACACGGACAGCAGCAAAATCACTTCGCCCTCGACGATCCAAAATCAACACCGACATCCCTCGCGACGCAACGATCTCGGTTGCCAGCACGGGCTTCCTGTCGCTCTGCCATCGACGCCGAAACACGGCACAGTGCACGCACTTATTTTCCTCGCGTGCAGTCAGCCGTTTGCTTCACACATTCTTCGGTGGGCTGACGTCCACAAAAGCACGCAACAAAAGGCCACTGTGATCGCACAAGCTCTTGCGACAAGCGTCGGTGTGTGCATGGATCCGCTGCTCACACGTGCTGGCAGGCAGCCTGCAGCCGGTGCCCTCGTGCCAGTCCATCGGCTCCAGCACGGAAAAGAGAAAACGGCCTATTCCTCATGCACTTATTCCCACCAGCAGCACCAACACGCTGGTCGCCAGCCGTCATTCCTCAGCACATCCAGGAATGCTGAAAAGTGAAGTGGAACTGTCAGCCAGCAATGCCACAATCCCCGCACACATGTCGGCTCCACCAGAGAAGAAACAAACCACAAACAACACCCCTCACATGTTTTCCGAACATCGTTCCGACACACCGCGACACGCCAAACAGAAGTATTCGTCACTCCAATGCACCTCCCCACACAATCAAATAGTCCACGCACCACGCACGGCAGCAGCCCACACGCGGTCAAACAAATGTCCCTCGGATCAGTGTTATCCACGTGCTGCGGTGGGAAGTAAACAAAAGAGACGAGCGGCCAAACCCAAAAGAGTGCCACGACTGGCCGCAAGTCAGCGGAACGCAGCCACTCAAAAGTATTCAGTCTAAATGTCCTCAACCTCCCACCTTCTCCCAAAAAAGCTGCAAGAGAATGGAATCAAGCACTCTAACAAATAAACTCGATGTGCTCCTGCTGTCGTCCGGGGTCGTTGATGACGCCTTCACGGGGACCGACACCCATCGGTTATTCCAAACGATGCTGCACACCCGCGACGCGTCCTGCGCTCTGAGACGCGCGTGCCTCACTATCGCCATGAGAATAAAACAAAAGTTCTTTAACCAGGCCGAAACGCAGACAGTGCCGTGCCTCCGTCGATGCGTGGGAAGGCAGCTACGGGAATTCCGCTGCCGAGGGATGCCGTCCCCAAGAAACCGCGGCGCGTTTGCAGTAAAATGGGGATCTCCCCGCACCACATCCGCGCCCCTCATGCTGAGCAGCGATTTGCCGCCTGGGACGCTGCGAGCCGCAACGAGGCGGGCGTCTTCCAGCCGCGGCGTGCCAAGGACACCCCGGACGACGTCAGACGATCGGTCGTTGAAACGGTCCGCGCCTCTCTGGGACCGTATGACCCAGGCCGCTGGACGGACGGCTTGTCTCTCGCTGAGCATGCGCCTGGATCCGCCGCGCTGCCTCTCGCCTCCCCGGTCGGTCGGACTGCCTGTGGGCCTCACCGCGCGGCTGCTGGCGGGATTGCGTGGCCCTGCCGAGCGGAGCGTCTTTTCACCAAGCACGGCCGCGGAAATTTATCCATTCCCCCGCCTGGCAGCGCCCAAATCGCCCACACGAGTTCCTGTGACCAGAAACCCTCTCGGCGATCGAGGCGCTCCGCCTTAGCCCGCCGGCGGTGCGCGGCGACGTCAGCGAGAAGATTTGTACCGTGCCGCCTTCCCTGGCGGATCGAGGTCGCACAGCTGACTCCGTATTTTCCCCGTGACGCTGCGGAATCCCACGCAACGTGACAGCGGACGCTGATGCCGTCATGGCACGATCTCTCCCGCAAGAGGGCATCCCAATCTGGCACGTGGAATTCCTTACGGCCGTCATGAGGCTATACTGGAAGGATGTCCAGGAGGAAAAGGAAGGCGCACACCGCACAACAGGCGCTTGTCGGTGTGGCGAGGACCCCATTCCTGGTGTCGACCCGGAAATCGTGCCACGAGTGGCGGCACTGTGCTCAGGCGTGATGCGACTCCCGCCCACTCTTCGACAGGCCTGCACGCGCCCTGCAAATCACAAGCACCTCCCTGTGTCGGTGGTGCCGTCCCTCCCTCACCGAGGAGACCGGCCCGCCTCTGCCTCCGCCGGAACCTCTTCCTGAAGTGAGCACCGCAACTCCTTGCTGACAAGCGAGCGGCGGATTGATGTCCTCCTGCCCAATCTTCGGCAGAGTGCGCTCGTCCGTCCACAATATGGAGGACACGCGCCTGACGTACTCAGCCTGGCGTTCCGATAGTTGGAGAAGCCCTCGCGTGCGGATGTCCCAATGGCTCCACCGTCTTACTGGCAATCGCCTCGCGCGCAGGAAGCAAAAACGCGGGCGCGCAGGATGGGCCAAGCCCTTCCGCCACCGCTCCGTCGCAGACGCCACGGGCTGCTGATCCCACGACGGACCACGGGATACTCCGCTTCATCCACTTTGGTAATGTCCTGTCATTGGCAATATGGACTGCGACTGTGTGGGCCGCCCCGGCATGTGCGAACGCCCGTTCGCGACGGAATAATTGCCGTTTTTGTACGGGCTTCTCTTGCACTACTCAGCCGCTGTTGTCACAGCTAACAACGAAAAGGAAACATCAACTGAATTATTATCGTGGTGAATATTTCCTGCACTTCCCGTGGACCAACAATCCACGTGGTGTGCGGGGATCTCCTTTTTATTATTGTTACGTTGATTTTTTGTTGCTGTGTGCGCTGCACCTCCTCTCGTGTGTGTGCGTACCCTCCGTGAGGGGTGCCGACGCGACGGACCGCTCTCGCCGTATGTACATGCGGTGGAGCCTTGTGTGCCGCTCCTGTTTGCTTCTCCCTCTTCCATCTGTGTGTTGGTGTTGCGACAGGGCTGCGTGTGTGTGTGTGCCTGTTGCCGTGGATTGGAGTGTGTGTCGTGCGTGGTGTGCGGCGTACGGTGCATGCCTGGCTGCTGCCCTCTCCTCATGTGGTGTGTCCTCTGTGTGTGTCTGCCGCACCTCTCGTCTCCCCTGTTGCTCTCCATGTCCCTCACTGTGCAGATCAGCTCCACACCACTGAACGACCACACTCACGATGATGATGACGTGCCGTCTGCTGTGCGCCCTGTTGGTGCTCGCCCTGTGCTGCTGCCCGTCCGTGTGCATAACAGGGAGTGAAGATCCAGGTGGCTTCGGTGAGCCGGCCTCACCGGACGCACCAGGTCCGGGGAACAGTGCTTTAGGTTTAGCTACTCGTAAAGTACCGGAAACGGTTATGACCGATGCGTTAAATAAACCACTTACGGCCATTGGGGAAGAGCCATCAGAGAAGTCGTCTACTAAGCAGGGAGGTACAAGTGTGTCAGGTCAGTCAGGGTTAGACGGTAAAAAAAGACCATCCGACAGTTTCAACGGATAAGTCTCATGAGTCGTTGGTAAACAATCTAGAGCAGGCTACGGATGAGTCAAAAAATAACAAAGAGGCTAAGGCACAGACACCACAAACGAATACCACGACAACGACAACTACAACTACGACAACGACCACAAGGGCACCCACTACAACGGAGGTACCAACCACGACGACCACCCGCGCACCGCCACATCTTCGCGAAATCGACGGCAGCCTCAGCAGTTCTGCGTGGGTGTGTGCCCCGCTGCTGCTCGGCGTATCCGCGCTGGCGTACACCGCTGTGGGCTGAAAGGGAGCGTGGGCTGTGCGTGCCAGCACTCAGCCACGGGGACATGTGTACGCGTCCACTGTGGTCCGATGTATGAAGTAAGAGTGATTATGATGATCGTTTTTTGCTTTGTTTGCCTCCGCTGCCCTGCTGTGTGCTCCGCGTTGCTTCCCACATCCGTCACGTTGAGCGCGTCCCAGACACACTTGTATGCACGACATGCATACAAATTTTTGCGTAGACGCACTGTTGAGGATGGGTGCATGTGCACTGGTGCCATTTGGGTGCATTTTTTGTAATTTTTACTGTTTTACTTTATTGCTGCTTGTTTACTTTTCTTTTGTTTTGCACTTGTTTTGTGTGTTTTATTGCTGTTAAATTATTGCATGGCGTTGTGCGTTTTTGCGCTTTAATCGGTTCAACATTTCGCATGAAACGCGTACCGCTGGTGATGTTTTTTACTGTGCCGTGCTTTTTTTTTTTTTTGCTTTTGCTCTACGTTGACGTGTTGTTAGTTTGTGGTGAAGGCTACACGCAAGTGACAGGAGTGATGGCGATGTTGACTGGCCGTGTGCTGCTGGTGTGTGCCCTCTGCGTGCTGTGGTGCGGTGCTGGCGGTGCTCATGCTGAGGATGATGCAGGTGTAACTTCACCTGGTGCCTCTGCGAGTGACGGAAAAAGTTTTCAGGAACCACCACCAATTGTACATGGAGGATCACACAACTCAGTTTTAACAGCATCAGATGTTAATGAACAAACCGATGAAACAGATAAAGAAGTCCTTTTGACAAAAGAAGTAGCTGGTTCTGATGAAGTACCACAAACATCAGGAGAAGAAATTCCACCACCATCACCATCGCCAAAGAAATCAAAAGGAGGAGGAGGACCACCACAAGAAGATGATTTAAACCTGGAAAAAGTAGATGAAAATGTAATGCAACCTGAAAAGCAACGCCGAGTAGAAGAAGGACTAGAAACGCTTGGTGATGGTGAAGCGGGAGTAACCAAACAGAATGAAGGAATTGGAGTACAGTCGCAAGATCACGAAACTCCATTCCAAGAAGAGGATACAATAAATGGAGAAGGACATCAACAGACGCATGGAAAAGACCAACAAACAAATGTTGAAGACATACCACCACGTAAATCTGCGGGAGATATTCTTCGGGAGAACACAAAGGCAATGATGGTTCCAATGAAAAAGAAGAAAAAGAAGGGGAAGAAGGTGTTGAGGGTCGTGAAAGACATCGGGCTCAGGAGAGAGAGGAGGCTGCACATGTCTCAGGTGCCCCGAAAGTAAACTCAACTGATATTCAGCAGGAAGTCCAACGCACACATGCAGGAGAAACTCCGACAGGAATCAAACAAAAAGCTGGAGAAGAAAAGGATGATGAAGCAGAAGAGGAACGAGAGGAACAAAAGAAACAAAATCAAGAGAATCCTCCAGGCAAAGTACAAGAAACCATAACTGGTGCAAACGCCACTAATCAAATAAACACAATGCCTGGCGACAGTGACGGCAGCACCGCGGTCTCCCACGCCACCTCCCCTCTTTTTCTTCATCTTGTTGTTGTTGCGTGTGCGGCTGCGGCTGCGGTGGTGGCCGCGTGAGAGTGAGGGAGAGAGAGCCGTGCACCGCCCGCACACACACTCGTCCTTCTCTCACTGTGTGTGTGTGTTTTCTTTTTTTTTTAATATTTTTCTGTTATTTTTGTCTGTTCGAGTCTTTTTTTATATTTATTTCTTACTCTCATCCCTTTCTTTTTTGCTTTTGGGACAATCACTATGGACGTTCTTTTCTTTTCTACTCTTCCCTCTTTAATTGTTTGTTGCTGCACTCTTCCCGTGAGGGGTGCCGTGTGTTTCCCGCCCAACTGCTCCACTCGCACACCACCGACACGCTCACGACGACGGCCCTGTGCGCCTCGCCTGCTGCACGCATGAGGAGGGGCCGCGACGAACGGCGCGCTGAGGGAGCCGCGACGTGTGGGCGTGCGACGAGGGCCTGTGGGGCGGAGCACACATTTCTTCCCTCTTGTTTTGTTTTCCTTGCGGCCAGGGCGGGCAGACACCCGCAGCGCCACACACACAGCCACACCCTGCCGCCGTGTTTTTCTTCTTGTTCTGCTTTCTTTTCTGTGGACGGGTGTGTGCCGTTGCCACCGTGTGGTGATGGAGGGCGGAGAGCTGTGCCAGACTTATTGCCGACGTATCTCTCTGCATCCTCACTTTCTTCTTTACTTAATGGCTGTCTGCTGCACACTGTAATGAGCGAAGTGTTTCTCCCTTTTGCTTGTTTTTTGTTGCCCACGCGCGGTGCCGGCCCTGTGGCTGTGCGTCCCATGGACTGCATGAAACGAGGATTGGAAGAACATGTCGGATGCCGCGTGAAAAGTTGGGGATGCTGTGTGGGCTGGTGGAACATTAAAGTCCTTTATTGACTTCTTTTTATTGTTGAGGGTGATATGTATACACAAACACACGGTTCTATTGTGCTGCTTGGCAAATGAAATAAACATCTTTCCGAATCATGGATTTTACTTTTTTATGTTGCTTGGGAGTTCTTCTGGACTCTCACCTTTTTTTCTTTTGTTTTTGGTAAATTACTGCCGTTTATTATGATTATTATTATTTGCTGTGTTCACTGTCGCTGAGTGTCTCCGCGTCCCGTTGAGTGTTTCTCTGCTGGCTGTGCTGTTGACATGCCTCTTTTTTTTATTTCCTGTTAGAGGAATTGATGGTCCGCGACGACGATTGTTTGTGTTCCCCATTGCGATGGCACGAGGGTGACTGGGCGCCGGCCTGCTGAGCGCACTCGGAGGAGAGCGGATGGTGTGCGCCGTGCCTCACTGTGAGTGTGGGTGCCAATCCGTCGGGGAAGAGAGAATTAAAGGGCAGCGCTGTGGAGTTGGATGCGTCCCTCTTGTTGCGGCCGTGGGTGTGCGGTGCGCAGTGGATGGCGGTGCTTCTGCATGCGTTGTGCGGC